AACAACACTGCCCAGAACGACAGGCTGCATGACTGCAGAGCAGCTACCCGGAATATACGGTGGTGTCAAGAGATGCCTTCTCTAGAGCTGTTTTTCTGGACCATGTCCTTTCACAGTGATTTGCCTGTTCTTAGATCAGCTCTATAAAGTCAGCCAGACCTAGGAAGTTACTGTGGAGAGGACATTTCCTAATCTATCTATCCAGATCTCACCCAAATTCTGCATTCAAGTCACAAGTCACAGGTCTCAGACAGGCACATTCCTGAAATAAATTTGGCCAGGGAGGAAGAAAAAAGAAAAAAAAAGTACTCGGTAACACTTGTATTTGAAAGTGTTAAATTTAAACTATCAGTTCTATTCTTCAAGTTACTACCATCAGAGGTCACATTCCTAAGGTATGGTAAGAATGGGGAGAGCCAAGGACTTTTTTTTTTTGGAGAAGTTTTTGTTACAGGGCGTGTGTGCTCGCAAGACAGAGACAGAAAGATAGAAAATGAGTAATCCCCCCCCCGGGGGGATGGCCATGCCACAATCCCTTCTCCTCCATTCTCCTCTTGGGATCTTGGGCACGCACGCACACATGCCCGCCGTGAGTTTAAGCCACCGGGTCCGGGACGTGAACCACGGTCGACTACATGGGAGTCCAGCAACATAGCCGTTACGCTAACTGCTGGTCCCCCAAGGAGTTTTTATGGGTTAACATTTTAGCTGGGTTTAAAGATAACCTCTACTTTCCATTGTATTATGGGGGTGGGGAAGGTGGGGACCTTTGTATAATTTAGTGCTTATGTGGGTAAGAGGGAAAAAATGAGGTGGACTAATGCTGATCAATGAATTTTCCTCCTCACTTAGTAAAATACCTTATCAACTGCAGGAGAGACTGAGCTGCAAATCTCCTTTCTCAGAATGAGTTCAAGTCCTGGTTCAGTTTTAACTGTGCTCCAGTCCAGTACTGTTACTAGAAAAGTGGCTTTGTCCTCAGCCTGGAAGCACTCAAGGATTTATGATTAGAAGCAAATGTGCACTTCTGTCCTCCCTCAGGTGTCCCTTTACTTCCAGTACTGTGGTTTTCCTTTGAATATTTCTCTTTAAACCCCACAGGAATTTGGACCTGATCCCAAATCATCTTTAGTGCTAAAATTCTCTACTGTCTTAACCCAGCTGCCCTCAGGAGTATCATTTATTTACTTTTTGTGCATTTAGATGCAGCAGGGGTTGCTGGCTGCTTGTCCATTCTTTTATTTCTATGCCTTCCTCACTTCTATTAATACTTCTAAAATAGTGGTCTATGGACAGTGATTGGAGTTAGATAAGAAAGAAGAAAAGATGTAAAACCTAGGAGCAAAGCATTTTCCTTAGGCTGTCCAGGAACAATTGGAATTGATGGCTATATGTGTAAATAATGTGCATGCTGATCTATGATCTAACTATTCCATTAACTTGGTTGGCATTCAAGAAAATCCTCAAGGAGCCTCCACTACTCTCAAGATCTCTTTACCCTACCCAGGATCTGTGAGCATCATGTTCTCTAACATTAACTCCATTATTAAAAAAAGAAACAAAAGCCATTTATTATGTCCTGACAACTGATACTAAGTTTAAATTTCAGTCCAGCACTCTTTGTCAAACTCTCTGGTGTGAACTTGACTTGATAAAGGTGTTCACTAGGCACCAAGAACAAACCTCCCATCTATTTCCAAAGTGTCCTGAAGAAATCTTTCTTTGCAAAATAACAACTAGAATAAAATCCACACTTCCCAATTCATTCAGTTATCTCCTTTCAAACCACAGTTAGAAATCAGTCATTCTTACCTCTCAGCTAGTCATTGATGGAGGATCAATATCTGTGTCTAAGAGATACACTTACAAGTTAAACTCTAAGCTCTTAAACCCATAAAGAAATAAACAAGGTGAGATTGGAAATGCAGGTCATAACTGACAGTTAACTGTCAAAATGACCAATTCAAACACAAAGGCGTCTGGAGAAAATAATGCCACCTTCTATAAAAGCTTTTAAATGCCAGTGAAATAAAAGGTCAGCTGACTTTTCTTGGCTATGTGCCTTATGGTCTTTTCTCAAGTGTTTCAAGCTGAACATTTCCCAAAGGTATATGAAATAGTTCAGATGTACAGTTATATAGAAGACATTGGCTAGCACCGAGTAAAATGGATCTACCAGCAGATACATATTTTAGTACTAGAACTAAGTTTCTTCAGACTATCAGGATTTGTGTTGCCACCAACACACACAAGAATGCACACACATACACATACACGCACACAGCATATGTGGCAAAAGAGACTTCCCAAGACAAATTTTGTGGAAACAGAATATATTTGAAAAGTTCAGGTAATATAAGCCTTGTTTTTTAATGATTCCAAAGCTAGTAAGGCCTGTCTACTCAACTGGAACCCAACCTTTTGCTAAAAGTCCTGGTCTGAAAATCTCCAGTAAGATGGTCAGGGCTACCATCTGGAGCTGCTGCTACATGTAATGGTAAGCCTAAGTAAGATGACCTGCCCTCTTTCTCCTCCTCCAATATATTGTGGTTGATTCTCAAATACTACAAATTTCATGGATCCATGCATCCTTATGGTCACCAGGATCATAAACTTACGAAGCACTCAAGTGCAAACCTGTTTTAGCTGGGTATTTAAAGAAAGTCCGACTCCCTGGTTTTTCCCTATATACTAACACTAGGTTAGAACCCGGCTGTGCATCATATGGAGGACACAAGATCTCTGTGGGAGAACTGGAACACGATGGTGCATTAACTCTCAAGGATATCCAGCAATGTACAACTGTGGCGCACCCTGGCTCTGGAGATTTGCGAGATGGAAAACCAGTAAAGGGCAATCTGAATCAAGTGTGGATTTGCCTTGGACGAAAAGCTGCAGGACAAGGGGACAGTGTTGTCTCTTGGGGTTAACTTCTAACATTTCATATTGAACGGTTTGTGTGTCGCACCGCCACTCTAAACCCCTTTACAAGGATGGATCAAGACCATAGCACCAAAAGGGATGGATGGCAGTCGGCTGAGTGTTCGGGCCTGTGGAAAAAAGATCAGGCTAGCAACCAGCGCAAGTGATGCTTTCATTTTCCCACACAACGCCAGAGAAACGGGAGACACCAGGAACCAGAGCTGAAGGGACATGTCAAGTCACCGGTTCCCTTTAATGAACAC